TAACCCGCTTAACAGCTGATCGCGAAAAGCCGCTAGACCGCTGTAGCGCTAATCCGCTAAGCTGTCAATGGGCTTGCTTCGCAAGACAAAAAAACCGCTAGACGAAGAGAATCGCGGAACGGATTCTTTTCGTCTTGCGAGGCACCACTGTACAACATTCCTTGTTTTCCTAAAGTAGACATGCAAAGGAATGTTTGGTGCAGCCAGTCAAAACTTTCTGTTCCTCCTGGGCTGGAGCATCCTTCGTTGCATGTGACAAGTGGGTGGGCGTGACCTTTCCAGACATGGTAAAAGGCCAAGGCATGCTGCTACTCTTTTTCTTTTCTATCTTCCTTTCGTCCTGTGAACTGCTGGACTGCTAGCCTGCAGTCACTAGGTAAATCTCCCTTAAGGGGTAAACCTGTTTGTATATGTTTGAAACTTGAAGCCTAAAGCCTGCCTTCAGGGATCACACTGTGCTCTGCCTGATCGTGAGTAAACTTTCTTTTTGTTACTTATGAATAAGACTGTGGTGCCTTTATTCTTTTAGGAGGGCTTCAAGGGGTCTTACCAGGAAAATATTAAAATACATTTCAATCTGGACAAGTCGGATTGAATTGCATATTGCCTTAAGAAACTCACAAGTTTGCAACAAGTTTTCTGCTGTGTAGAAAGGGAATGCACTCTGCTAAGTAAAGGAACTTGCTAACGCAAGTTAGGAAATATATTAATAAACAAGATATCCTCTCCTGCCACCCTGAACGTTTCCACAGCATGCACACTATTTGAATGGCAACGTCCAGTGCTTTTTTTCTGGGGGGATGCATACCCCTAAACATTTTGTGAATCTAAGTTTGGCCTCATTGAGGGGCAGTATTTCAATGAGTAGGAAAATGAGTACTCCTAAACATTTTTTTAAGAAAAAAAGCCCTGGCGATGTCCATCAACTTTGGGGTGGCAGCCCCCTCAAATGTTTTATTTGAATGTGGGGCAAAGGGACCTTGGCCCCTAGGACTTGGCTCCTATGTCCATAGTTACATCTGTGCAGGACTCTAACAAAACCCCACTGTGTCCATGTACGTGATGACTGGGTGCGAACGTTCAACGCCAAGTTACTGAAGAAAAAATTAAGTTGCAATAAGGGGGTACTTAGATAACTCAAAGGAGTCGGTGGACTAGCTTTTGGAAATAGTATGAATATGGGTCATGAGATGGAAATCCGGAGGTCTAGACGAGCAGCGGCAACTTCCCTTTCCCGAGTCGGACGCAACCACGGGAAACCTATGCGTGCCTAGCGGGAAAAGGCCGTGATAAGCAATGCCGAGCCGAAGGCGCAGCCGGTACACAGCTTTTTAATTATGACAATGCTCATTCTACAGGCGGCCGCCTGGAGCTGCTGCCTCCAAGGTAATGGCGAGGCCAGGCGAGACGCAGCAGAGTCGACCCTCTCTGCTCCTCTCCTCCCCCTCTATTGGCCAAGCTCCCTCCGCAACTGAGAGGCAGCCAACCCGCCCGCGCTCTGAATGGACGCGAAGCGGACGGCGGGAGGCGGGCCTCCGCGGCCCTCGACCAACCAGGGACGGCCGGCGCAGGGCAGAGTGGAGCGCTGCCGGCCGTAACGTCGTGCGAGCGCCAATCGCAGCGGGCTAATCTCTCCGCCCCCGCGTCTTCTTTTTCTCCTTCCTCCAGGGCCGCTTGTTGGGCATATAGCGGCGCGGCAGCACCAACGCCACCACAGCCGCGGGCGGCAGCAGCATCACCACGACCTGCAGCAGCAAGTAAGCGGATTCGTTCAGGGAGGCGTCGGAGCGGGCGGGGCTTGAGGGAGAGAGGGAGGTGGTGAGCGCGAGCCGGCTCTGAGGGAGGAGGCGCAACCGCCCGTCGTGCGCGCGGCAGGACCCGAGTGCCGGTGAGGGACGGCGGCGGCGGGTTGGGCGGGTGACCGTTGGCCGCGGGGAGGTCGCGAGCGAGGGGGGTGAGGCGAGGCGGGAGGGGGCAGTTCCGCTCCACGGAGGGCGGGGGAAGGGGAGATGAGGCGAGGAGGCCCCTGGGGTGCCGCGGCTTCCTCTGAGGGGAGCCTTGCCGGATGGAGGAGACTCGAAAAGCAAAGCCGGTGGGGTGGGGCGTCTGGGCGGCGGATACTCTCCTGGTGCGGCTTGGGAAGAGTTGAGGGAGGGCGGCCGGGTGGGAAACGACGCTCTCGTTGTGGGGCGGCCTGTTCCGTTCCCCGCACCCCCAAGTGGAAAGGGGCCTGAGTATTAACTGGAGCACGAGTTTATTTTATTTATTTCTTTGAGGGCATTGTTACTGTACCCTTTCTTAAGAATTTGGAGAATGCGGAGGCCCGAGAGAGCCAGGAAACGGCGGGCGGAGCGGAGTTGTGGAGCCAAGTGGAAAGATGTGCTGCTGCTGCCGCCGCCGCCGCCGCCGCCTGGGTCTGAGGCCCTGGAGGTGGAGGTGCACGGGCGGCTGTGAGCAGCGCCCCGCAAGTTTGAGGTCGCTCGTTGCAATACCGAGCCTTGGGAACAACTTAGCGCAGGTTGCCTCCCTCCTTCGCTTTCCTCACCCTTTTCCATCCAGAAGCGGCCGAAAACGGTTTCTAGGTCGTGGGTAGATGTCTTGTTCTCCTGCGGTTGTGTAATAGGGTTGTCATGAGCACATGTTGGGCGAGATGCACGAAGACTGAGGAAATCTTCAGTTTGCAACTGTACACCACCCCCATGTCTTTCAAGCACAATTTTCATAATGAGGAACCAAGCTTTCTTGGGCATGGCCAAATGTTTGTGGAAGGTGGAGAATGAATCTCAACCCGCCCTGGTATTTTTAACGCCTTCTGGCTGTTTCCTTAAGATGTTGTTCCCTTGGGTGGGGCTCCGTGCTGGGGATAAAGAATATGGCCCTTGTAATAAAGCTCTGGTCTTGGCAGCCATTATTCCAGTGTAAGCGAATCTGTGCCATAGTGTGACTTCCCTGTCATGCCTATGTAATAGTGAATACTGGCTTTGGCAAGAAAAAATTTGGCATACCAAGGAAGGGTGTATCTCTTGCAGCACCCAAAGTTAGGAAATGTGCATCTGTCAAAAGGAACTGCTTGCAGTAAAACTTAAGGAAATTGCAATTGCAAAACCTAGTAAAAGGTAAAGGGACCCATGACCATTAGGTCCAGTCGTGGCCGACTCTGGGGTTGCGGCGCTCATCTCGCTTTATTGGCCGAGGGAGCCGGCGTACAGCTTCCGGGTCATGTGGCCAGCATGACTAAGCCGCTTCTGGCGAACCAGAGTAGCATACGGAAACGCCGTTTACCTTCCCGCCGGAGCAGTACCTATTTATCTACTTGCAATTTGATGTGCTTTTGAACTGCTAGGTTGGCAGGAGCTGGGACCGAGCAATGGGAGCTCACCCCTTTGCGGGGATTCAAACCACCGACCTTCTGATAGGCAAGTCCTGGGCTCTGTGGTTTAACCCACAGCGAAGCAAACTTCCTTAATACACCCAAGATTACTAGTTTGATGTTTGATGTAAAAGAGCCACAGCTCTCGCTTCAGTCTTACACATTTCTAGTCTGAAGTCCCAATGAGTTCAGTACATTTACCCCCAGGAAAATATGTGTAGTATTGCAGCCATAAAAAGTATAGATGGAGCTTTGTTAAGCACTAGTGAGACATCTGGATGTCACAGTTCAAGAAGGATGTTGACAAAGTAGAATAAATTCTGAAAACAGCTGCAGAAGTAGTAAAAAGTCTGAAGTAAAGACTAAATAAATTGAGTATGTTGATCCAAAGTATGTGTTAAAAGCTTTTTATTATTTAAAAGGATATTCCAAACAGAAGGCAATTTCTACTTTCCCTACAATGTAGGAAACTTCAAAATAATGGAAAATGAGGTGAAAATGGAAGAAAATCAATTGAGCATTGAAGAAATTAGCTTAAAATGAGGTTTTGGAAAGAGTGTACAGTGGTACCTCTAGATACGAACGGGATCCGTTCTGGAGCCCCGTTCACATCTAGAGGTAAACGTATCTAGCGACGGCACGTCTGCGCATGCACGCGTCACTTTTCGCCACTTCTGCACATGCGCGTGGTGTCATTTTGAGCGTCTGCGCATGCGCAAGTGGCGAAACCCAGAAGTAACGTGCTCTGTTATTTCCGGGTTGCTGCAGAGCACAACTCAAAGTGTATTTAACCTGAGGTATGACTGTATTGTGTCATTATAGGGGCAAGTGTGACTTTCATTTCATTTCATATTATAGCCCCTAGTGAGATTTCCTGCACAATTGAATTTTTAATGCTTGCAAATGATAATGTTTACAAGGTTTCAAAGGACTTTCTAAAGCATTACCATATTGGCCTGAATATAAGCCACACCTTTAAAATTCAAGGAAAAAAAAGAAAAAAGACAGTACCTAAATATAAGCAGCTCTTTTAAAACTTGCAGGCTCTCATACCCGTTCCGTTTTACCACATGTCTGTTTCAGCAGTGATATTGTAAAAGCCAATTTTTATAAGGTCACGAATTTAAGACGCACTTTTTACAGGGATGTTTCTTCTAACTCATTTACTCTCATTTACTCTCGGGCCCAAACTAAGTGGGATACTAATGACACTCTCACTGTGAAAAAAGTAGCTGTGAGCCTGCCTACCCCTTCCTGTCTGGCAGTACATGCCTATATTTTACCGTATTTACTCATTTACTCTTTGTGTAGAGCCTACACAGTTCATTACATTGCTTCCTGCACATTCTACTTAACAGATCAGATACCTTTGGAAGTGTTAGGTCCATCCAAAATCCCTTATTATATATCAATTTCAGACACATGGAATGAAAAATCACTTTAAAAATGCCAGTGTTTAGCAGTCCTTCATTCATGTCCTTGGTGAACATTTTAGAATATATCTAGTTTTATGGTGGTTGTAACAGCACTTTAAATTTATATTTTACATTCTGAATAAAAAAGCATCCATGAGACAGCCAACAATCAGTTATATATTAAAACAACTATTCTCTCTATTAAAATCAACAGCTATTTCATTAAAACCAGTAGCTGTAAGCAAAACAAATCCTAGCAAGGAAAACAAAGAAAATACCAAGCCAAAGAGGGAGATCCCTTCAAAAATAGAGCTACCAAAGCACTCCAAGGGCACATTTACTAGCTGTTGGTATGCCCGAAAGGATGGATCTGATTTTTCCTCAGAAGTGACTTCTAGACTTGGTGGCCTCTTGAAAGGTAATCCCTCCTCCAATATACTTTAAATAGTAGATGAACATAGAGGAAGATCTATGTCTAACAGTAGATTCACATGGGAGCAGTCCATCCTTTAAGTAAAGCCTTAAATAGCCTGCATCTAAAAGTCAGTTTCAGAATTCCAGTCAACAGCACTTTCATCTGTCTGCATTACTATTTTGTTCACTCACTAATCAGTCCCTTAGTGATCCAAGACACCTATTTAGAACATCTAATACTTCCTTAGGATCAGATGGGAAAATCTGAAAGAAACTTGAGTACTGTAATTAGCTTTGACACCAAACCTCAAACTTATAGGCAACATCACCCAGCAGTTTCACATGGATATTTAAACAGTACAGTGGTACCTCGGGTTAAGAACTTAATTCATTCCGGAGGTCCATTCTTAACCTGAAACTGTTCTTAACCTGAAGCACCACTTTAGCTAATGGGGCCTCCCGCTGCTGCTGCTGCTGCAGCACCATTTCTGTTCTCATCCTGAAGCAAAGTTCTTAACCCGAGGTACTATTTCTGGGTTAGCGGAGTCTGTAACCTGAAGCGTCTGTAACCTGAGGTACCACTGTGTAGGAGACAAGCAGGATCCCTATGGCATCATACAAGCCAGCCGCTATTGGGATCAGTTCTTCCATCTGTGTTTTCACAATGCTTATTTACTGGAGTTGTCAGGGCAATCCATAGCTGGCTATAAAGCCAACTTGAAAATATTTATGTGGGCTTGGTGCTTTACTTCAAATGTAAACAGAAATTGGACTTTGAAACTTAAGATATGTGAGGTGTGAGAAAGTAAATAAAGATCTATGTGAGACACATTGCTGATAATTAAATGGCAAAAGTGACTGTGACTTGTAATCACTATATCTGAATAGTCCATATTTCTGGATTTGGATAAAGGTATATTGGAAGCTTTTTTTAGGGAAAAAATGAGGAATACTCAAATATTTGTCATTAAGGTAGTTTCTGTCTTAAAGATTAACTTTTTACAAGTCTGAATTTGTAAATAGAAGGCCTTCTTTCACAACTTTAAAGAGAACTTGGGGGGGGGGGATTATGTACCTTTCATGTTAATCCCTGAAACTTCTTTACCGCTCTTGCCACTATCATTTCCGTTCTTTATTCTTCTTAATATAGTAGCTGCTGCTTATGTGTATACTATACTTTGTTAGTCCGTTGATGCAAGCTTGTGCACTCTTGTATTTTCCACCTGAGTTGCAATTGTCATGAGATAGTGAAGTTTAAAATTCAGAAACAAATTTGTAAAAACAAACAGCACTATCACCATTAGACCATTTTGCCTTACTAGTTCTGTTGGATGTTTACAATGGCTCTGCTTTCTGGTGAGTGGAGAATGAATTGGTTGCTTGCCACAATGTGTAGTTAATTGAGAAGACAGTGTCTGAAATATCCATGCAGTGAACAACTGCATACTGGGGTATTGATATTACTGAAACCAATTATAGTGTATTTAATTCACAGTTTCAGCAAAGATAATTAAATAGGAAAATGCTTCCTGGTAAAAAAAATCCTCTACACTATTAGCCAGTGCATAGAACAACCAAGTCCTCTGATGCATTGTATTGGAAGGATTTTGGATGGAGCAAAAGTGCCCAGCTTTGCCCTGCTGAGCCAGCCTCTGCTGATAGGGAGCTTTGCTGTTGGCGAGGAAGCCCTGCCAACAAAGGGCAGGTACATGTTACCACTAGCAGCACTCACCAAAACCTGATATTTCTAGTGCTGGTGGACTGTTGCTGGGTCACTGTTGGTGCAGCAGGCTTGATCCAGGGCTCTTTACTGTGTCAGCCCAGGAGCTGGCACAGTGAAGGAGTACTTTTATGATGTTAGCCGCTCTGAGCCCAGCCTCAGCCAGGGAGGGCGGGATACAACTAATATTATATTATTATTATTACTACTTTTTCCTTCCCTCTCCCTTTCACCCTTGCCACCATGAGAAGTGTGGCTATGGAAGATGCAGTGGCTTTACTACTCTTATCAAGTGGCCAGGAATTTGGATTAAACACTTGGTATTAGTGGCTAACTAAGGAAGCAAAGGGGTACAAAATCATGAAATTTTCTCCTTTTTTAAATTAAAAGTTGCACAGGTAGTTCCTACTGCCTCTCAACTGACTGGGGAAGGGTTGATCAGTATTTTCCAAGTGGTATTGTATGGCAAGCTCCCAGCCTTTTATTTTGTTTATGTTTGTTTTCAAAACGTTACTCTGCCTGATTTGGAAAGGAACTCAAGCTGGTTTACAACCTGAAGCATAATAATAAATTACATAACTATACCCTTTAAATCACAAATACTGACATCAAAGCCAACCTCTCATATGAAAACCCAAAGCCACCAACAGTCTGGTAAAAGCCTTTTAAAACAGACATGTTTTTACTAGTCACCTAAAACAATATAGTGATAGTTTGACCCTTGTTAAGGCATTCCACAGGATGAGTGCTACAACAAAAAAGCCCCTGTCTGCCTGCACCTTTGCTGTCTGCAGGCAACTTGAGATCAAGGAATATCCTCCAATTACAAACATAGTCTTTCAGGTAGAGTCTAACCCCATCCAAAACACACTCCAAACCAAAGTCCATCCACTAACAGAACTTATGTTTTGTCTGACTTAAGCTTCAGCTTGTTCCAGTGCCTCACAGCTACCGAGCATTAGTTCAACCTTTCAGCTCCCTTCCTAGGATCAGATGGAAATGAGAGATAGTTAGGTATCAGCAGCATACTGAGAGCTCTGCACCCCAGCCATCAGTTGCATGCAGATATTAAACAATCTTGCAGAACCTCATAATTACCTAGCACCAGCTTCTGCGTCCTTTCAGGTTTGAATGGAGCCACTTCAACATCGTTCCCCCAGTTTCCATCTTTTGGAGACAATCCATAAGAAAAGCATGGCCAATGGTATCAAAAGCCACTGAGAGGTTCAGGAGAATAGATAGTAAATGTCCCAATAAAGATCTTACACTTAGGTAAATAGGGCAAATTCAATGCCAGAAATGAACTGAAAGCCAGACAGGAAATTCTGGAGCTGTGCTGCCACAACATGTTTGCACATTTTGCCCCTAAAAGGGATGGTAGACACTGGTCACTAGTTGTTTAAATCAGAGTGTAATGATTGTTTTCCCCCACTAGAAAAACAATAGGGTGCGATTCAACATTGCAGTATGGTTCTGCCAATGCAAGTATTTCTGCTTCCTAGATGGAATGATCTGATCTCCTCCCCCCCCCTCTCTCTCTCTCTCTCTCTCACACACACACACACACACACACACACAGCCTATGCTTGTTCTCAGGGTTCTCCCCACAAAAATACTGGCTTTTGCAAGCACAGCAACTTAGTTGAATCTATATTACCATTCTCTTAAGTACCAAAGGCACTCAACACTTTCTGAGAGAAGTATTTATTACTGTACTCACTTATGTGTGCATATGTGACCATTCTGATTTCACATCCAGTTTGAGTGAGAATCAAGAGCCAAGCCTGTTAACTGCATCTCTCTACGGATTTAATGTTCCTCTTCAGGGTGATGTATAGCATTGAATAATATACTCTGTTCAGTTAGAATGAAATGCTTGTAATCTTGAGATACTTTCATTTTTAATGTTTGGTATTTTCTAAATGACAATTAGTGCTGCAAAAGCATGCATCCCATTATATGAACAATGCAAATACATAATTTAAAATGTTAAGATATTAAGTGATCAGAAGTATACGGCTTTGACTCGTCCCTGACCTGTTCAGATCCCCCAATCTGTGTACTTTTCTAAAGCAGACCTTTGACTTTGATATTGTGGGATAAATCCATGATTTATCTTGAAGTGTGGTCTTACCTAAAGTAAAAAACAGGGAGTTTCTGATGAGGGGTTGAACTCGCCTTTGGCACATATCTCTAGTGTTCAAGTCAGCTCTGCCAAATTGGCACATACCTTCTTTACAGTTTCCAGTGCTTGAAGGTCAGTGAGGCAATCCCTTTTTTATAGAGGTCCTGCTTTGGGATTCTGCTGAAAAACAAACTTTAGCCCCATGTGGTCCTGATGAATCTTTTACTATAACTACTTTGCACCAAGCTTAGATAATATCTTCAACTTAGTTGCCTTGTTCTTTTCATGATCCTATGTTTCATGATCCTTAGATAAATAAAGGATATTTTTGGCGTGGTGAACATGTTCCATACTGTTGCAACAGTGCCATCAGTTCCATTTCGTCAGGTGGAATATTTATATTCCTTGGAGTTCTCCACACTATGGAAGAAAACTTAAAGTGCCAAACGTTGAAATATGTTAATTCTTTTTTTTCTTTTAAGGGCTCTAGTTTCTGTGATGTAGCCAAGACTATAACAAAAGTTGATACTTGAACAGATTTCCTCTAATTTAAAGAACAGCAAATTATGTATTATTGCAAATAACTATATTATATAATACTTCTATTTTCTAGTTCAGAACAAGAAGCAGTTTGTCCCAACCTGAACTGGTCTTCCCTGGGAGATGGCTAAGCTTGTTCCAGGCTTCAAGAAAATCACTAGGAAGCAACAATTTTAAATGTGCAGCCTGCTTTATATCAGAGGCCAGGAAAAGGAAAGCTAATATTAAAACCATATAAAACAGGTAGGATAAAACTGATGAAAAGTTTCCAGTGTTAGCACAATCTCACCCAACTTAGTCTTCAGTTTTAAAATCCAGGCCAAATTGGTCTTGATTCATAAATATTTTTGAGCTCTGACACTCGAGAAAAATAACAGTCCATTCTTATAGGTGCTTCAAAGTGCATCACTTTGTACACACCTTTGCCAGCCAGATAAGACATACAGGTGGGTGTCTTTGTTTGAACTTGGACATTGTGATGAGACACATTGGATGAACAAATACTTTCTCTGATAATTCAACCCATATTATTTTGGACCCAAAATGGTACCTTAAATTGTACCTGAAAGATGGCGGCGATGATACTGGAAATGCTTTTGGATGTGCTGTATGCATACTGATACTTCTGTTTTTCAATACAGCCCAGTGCACAATAATTTAACATGAATGACAGTTGCTGGTGTTAAGTGGAAAGTTTTGTGGCCTTTTCAATGGTACCCTGGCTGCTGTTGCAATCTGGAATTAATTCCAGACATAGCTGTAGAACCAGGAGTGCACTATCAGTCTACGCTAATCATTCTTTTGTCATGCTCACATTTATTTCCAGTTGGCGAGTTTGCATCCATTATTTAACAGTAGACAAAAACAGAGCCAGACTAGATTAAATTCGTTGCAGGTAGCTCAGTCTCTGAACAGAAGCAGTCAAAAATCTAAGTTACTCACTATATAGAAGAAGTGGGACTTCCAACAAAATGCTACTGTGGGGCTCTATTCAGTGTCCATGGTACTTTGTCATGTCCTTTCCCATGATACTCCATTCCTGCACTCATCCATACTTCCCTTCTCTTCTCCATCCTCCAACCAGTCAGCCAGCATTTATTGGCCACCAAGCATCCCCATAACTTCCTCTTATGTATGGATGCTTACATTTTGGTTATATAAGGTTTTGCACTTGTCTCTTCACTTTAGAAATGGTGGGAATGATAACTGCTGAACCTTAAAACATTCATTCTCTGTAGAGAGGATGCTATTACTATAGAATACTTGGTTTTGAAAACAAAACTAAAAAGTGTTTACTGTAATTGGTAAGCTTTGACTGAGCAGTGCTCTTGTTGTCTGTCTGGATTTTTCACCCAGCTTGGATTGATTTAAATAATCATAGTATGTGGAGCATCTTCTTTTGTTTTTGTTTCCTGATGTAGATCATCTTGAACCTGTTTTCTGTGCTTCTGAATATTAGATTATATTTTAAGGTTCAACTATATAAAATATTTGGTTTTAAGTTAATATAGTTTTAAATGAATCCCGTGTTTTTTTGCTATATTATTTCAAATGTCTGCAAGGCTCTGATGCAAGCATAGTACAAAATTAAAAATTAACTCCATATATTTAGTGTTTTCTTTGTATCTTGCTATGTTGCCCTTCTGCAAAGCTCAAAGTTCTAGCTCCTATCGATATTATTTAACCAGAAAAGCTTAGCTTAGGTATATGTCCACATTTTATCTACAATTGTTATCTCTTGTGTCTGCTATATCTTCTCCCATTTGTAAAACCTGAGTTCTGAAAAGAATGTGATTTAATAAAGCTTGTACTTCCAACAAAGCAGAGATGTTGCAGTATATGGGGGCTAACAAGAGCAACTATTGTATGCTCCACAATGATGCTCACACAGCGTTAGATACAAGAATCTTTTATTAAGAGGAAATGTTGGCCACAGTGCTGGAGCTATTAGTCCCTGTTTGGATTTTTTTTTATATGTTTCTTCCATCAGACTGTTGATCAAACATTTCTGTCAAAAGGGCAGTACCTCAGAATGCATTGTTATGCTCCTGAATACTGAATTTATAAATGTTTGTTTCATTTAAGAGTGGACACTTCTGCAAGAAATTATGGACAAATAACATTTAGGAATCTCACATTGAGGGTCTTTTTATCTTTTGTGGGGGGGAAATACTGACAAAGATATGCAAAGTCAAATTTTAACTAGCTTAATTTTTTTCTTTGGCTTTCCATAATGTTTCTTGATCTAACACTTACCCAAAGCATTGAGGAAACTAGCATGCGCAGCATTCCTGCTTATCCTTTATTTCTCATTTGCAGTGTAGATTGAATTGCAAGATTCAACACTCCACAATCAATGACTAGTTGCTACTATGTAGCAACCTGTTGTGGATGTTCACATAGCAGGAATATCTGTGAGTAAATGAACTGGTTATGCATGCTATATTAGCAATGAAAGGAAACGTTTATTGGCTGGCATATTGGAGCACGTTCCAATGAAATCCCTGGTTTTCTATACGTTTCTAAACGTTAGTGAGCAGTTCAAGTGGAATACACATACATTAAAGGTGCCAGTTTTTCAGCAAACCTTAGGCACACTCCTGTAGCTCTCCTTGACTTCGGCATCCTCATTTAGCCATGAGTTGAGACAAATGTACCCTGCACTCTGTCAAAGATATCTTTCCTGTCTTTCCAGTTTGGCAACTAACCCCATGCCATTTATTTCTACTTCTGCTGCTTGCTTTTACTAGTATGATGAACAAAGCATTGGTGACTCTTGTGGCAAAAAAGTGTTAGGACACAGAGCAGGGAGTTGGAGGCCAAAGTGAGAGGAGCTATATTATTTAGTTCAGGATAAATAAGATTTCTCATTGTGGAAGGGTAAGTTGCTTGGGACTGAAGGACTAGGGAGATACAAATGATTTGAGCTATTGAAATAATTGTGTAGAACAGAGCTGATTTTCAGCTCTTGAATACTCATTCAGGATTGTATGTGTGCATAATGCTGCAACCCATGTCTTGAGATAAGGGAAGAGCTGCCTGTGCTTAAGGGCCATTTTTACTTAGACCTAGAGAAGGAGTGCCACAGGACTGCAGAGATATTTGCTATGAAGCACTGTTAGAAATTAGCCAGGCATGTTTTGCTACTGCTATCGGTCTAATTTTGATGACATAGAAATTTCTGGGCACCAGGTTGGCGACCAAAGTATAAAAACCTCTGCCTTAGTTCATAGTTAATACAGTTTCCACTGTGTGTGGGACAAGTGAATTATTGTAAGAGCAAGCTACAGTCAAGCAATGTAGTTGGGATCATAGATTCATAGATATTTGTTCGTATAACATGATTCTTGTTTATAAAACCCAATTAAAAAAAAATTGTAGTGTTGGAAAGGACCCCGAGGGTCTTATAGTCCAACCCACTGGCGAATAGACATTCCATTGTGGCAACTGGAACCTAGTTTTAAGGTGCCATTTGGCATCTAGCTTATATATCAGTTTCTAAAACTGTTGTGAAGCCCAGTGGAGACATCATGGGGGAGATCTGTGTGCTCCTAGGTGCTTTTAGGGAGGGATAGTAGCCTAGCCTGGGCTGATTGGATTTTTAGATCCCTGTATATCTCAATTTTCCATGGTTATAGCTTCATTCTGAAGTAGTCTCATGTGTTGGTGATAACTTGGCATGCCTCTCTGCATATAACTTGGTGGAGGTGTTGCATGTAACTGTTGCTATGTTGATCATAACATCTGCTTTTGAGACCTTATTATCTCAGGGCAGTGTTTCGTTGCAATCAACAAGAACAGTAGTTTCTCTCATAGGGAAAGGTGCTAAGCAATATGTTAGGACCATAGTGGAACTTTCATAATCTATATATTATCCATTCTGAGGGCCAACTTACATATTTTGTATTTGTCTTTTTTCATTTTGTTCTGTAAATAGCAGTCAAGGGACCACTGATCCACAATAGGGCCATGGCCTGGGCAGAGGGGGCTTAATCCATTCTCCCCATCCTGCCGTCCCAGCTGAAAGTTTTAACTCCAACAGCTGCTTTTTGCCCATAGAGGGAAGCTATTTTTGACACCAATAGCTACTTTCCTCCTAGGGCAAATAGTAGCTTGTGGGGGTGAGACTTAATTTGGGGGGCTGTGGTATGGGAGGAAAGTATTCTCCCTCCTCCATATGCTCTGTGATTGCCACTATTTAAATAAATGCAAACAAAATATGCACTTACTATGATTATCCTTCATTTGGTTGAATTGAGAGTTATTGCGCCATAGTTAATAAATTAAGGCCCATCTGAATGCTTTGTGTGTAACATTCCCCCCTCATGAATCCCATGTATGTGCATGCTTAATTCTAGATCTGCTAAACAAATTCATTCCAGTAACAAAATAAGCACTTCTGCATGCCTTTTTGACTAAATGAGCCTGCTCTTAGGCTTCATTTGTGAAAACTGATCATTTGTGGAAAATTTTCCCCATAAGTGTTTGTATTTCATAGTATTTCCAGCTTTAAATCCTAAAATCGGGTTTCTTATGACATATTTTTAAGGACCTCAACTGTCATGCATATAGTGTAATATTTTTTCAATAACTGATTGATATGTGAAATGTCAGTATTATGCATATATGTCAGCAATCTGATCTTCGCTTAACAAAATCAGTAGTGTAAATAGTATTATGATGAGATGATTAATTGGTTAACATAGAAGTTAACATATGTAGATTGAGATATAGTTTACACTGAGAACTATAAGCACTATTGTGATATGGAGCAACAGTCTGAAGCTCCAGCAAACAGGGGGTTCAGTGTTAAACTAATAAATTTACGGTTTTCTCAAGGCCTTTCTTTGTTAGAATAGCCATGTGCCATCTGTGTAGCTTTTGCATTTGGATCAAAGTCTTCAAGATATTATTTGTGTGGGGTGTGGGGAAAGTAACCAAAACCTCTTATTCAGCTGAAAATGTGTTAACTGTAGCACATCTTGTAATGAATATACTTCATTCTTGAGTCCTGGTCGGACAATTAGTTCTCTGTTCACACCCCCACAGATTCACAAATCTTTAGTCTAGTTGAGTACTGGATTGTATTGGCAATACTGCAAAGCACTTTTTACATTAAAATATTTTCTTCAAATTATATGAAGCACTGAGTTTCTGGTTCATTGTTGCCCTTGATTCAGTATAGTGAAAGATATAACTAGTGCTTTATTTCTGGGGGGGATGAAGGGGTATGCATGCCCCTAAACATTTTTTTTAAGGAAAAAAAAGCACTGGATATAACAATTATTTTTGGATAATTGACTCGTTTTTCTTTTCTAAAAAAAAAATGGAAATATGCATTTCCCCCAATTTGGAATGTATAACCCACATATATCTTAGACACCAGGGATACTGCATGTTTTAATGGTCTGTGGCTATTATCATTTGTAGCAGGCAAAAATGTGACACCATCTTCCCAATAGTTTATTGATATCACTGTTACTTTGTTCACTTGTTAGTTCCCAGGTACAGAAATTCAACAAACTAAAAAAATAGGTATGCCAGCAGAGACATGGGGACTTTCCAGAGTATTGCACATAATGTCACATGTATGACAGCCTGTTTGCTGAACAGAAGTTGTGGGTATGTGTTTAGTACAATGAGCTCCTGGTCTTCAGGACACAAGATGGTGACTGGGAGAAGTAGAGAGAGGTTGGTGGACAAGGCAGTTGGGGATGTAAAAGTTGTGTCCCACTCCCAAGCTGACAGCTCCCCTGGTGTTAGGGGAATGAGGAAGACCTCATCCTGAGGAGGACAAAAGTGATCCCTTAAAAAGGACCTATGCATTTGAGGGGTGCATAGATACTTTGTTATGCCAAGAATACATCTCTGAAGAGTGGAATTATCCCGTCAGTAGAAGAATCAGTCATTTAGAACATAGATAGCTTGGTGTGTGGTGGGCATGCTGACTTGCCTGCCTGGTGTGAAAGTTGCAAATGTCTCACATTGTGTAGATTGGTGGATGGTGCTGGGGAGGAATCAGTCACCGTGGTGCATGTAGGCACCAGTGACATGGGGAAATGTAGTTGTGATGGGGAAATGCAGTTGAGAGGTCCTAGAAGTGAAATATAGGCTGCTAGCTAAGAGGTTGGAAGCTGGGAAAGTCAAGGTAGCTTTCTCTGAAAAGCTTATCCCCCTAGTTCCTGATGTAGGGTCAACCAGAGAGGCCCAGTTTAGTAGTCTCAATGGGTGTAACTCAGTATTTTATATTGCACAGTTTTGTATCTGAGTGTTGTTTGTTTAAGGAAAATGGTTAGCGGCAACTACAGGTCATACCATTTATACTAGGCTGAATATTATGTTTCTGTAAAAATGGAATTTCAAATGTAATTGGGCAAGAATTTAGCAGATAAAATGTGATTAAGGGCCAGTACCGATGCAAACTCTAACTTACTCTTAAATTCTCTTAAGATCATGATGGTATCCATCCCAGAATACTATGAAGGCAAGAATGTCCTCCTCACTGGAGCTACTGGCTTCATGGGAAAAGTTCTTCTGGAAAAGCTACTAAGGTCCTGTCCGAAGTTGAAAACGGTTTATGTGTTGGTTAGACACAAAGCAGGGAAGAATTCTCAAGAACGCGTGGAGGAAATGATCAGCTGCAAGGTATCATTCATAAAATGGCTATGTTGAACCTGACATTAAAAAAAATATTTTAACAAAGTTTTGAATAATAGTGAGAATACATGTGGTAGTACAGGGATGGGGAACTTTTCATTCCATGGGCCACATGGGAGCCACATGTTATGTGGCGGGACTCTAGTATGTGATAATTTGTAGATTTGAAGCTGCATTTTCTTAGTACAGTGAGTTTACATCCAGACCATTTGTATCAATAGTAAAATCAACTAGGAAGTATTTTTTAGTCTCTCATCCAGAGTAAGTGATACAGAAAACTTTTAAAAATACCTTTGTCGCAGAGGAATGTGTGTGTTGCCATCTCACATAGTTATCCCCTTAGATTTGTGCTGTTAAACTACATACATTGTGCTGCTGATTGCACTGTACCTGCCTGGGGGAATTTGGATTTTATTGTTGTTAGCCGCCCTGAGCCCGGCTTCGGCTGGGGAGGGCGGGATATAAATAAATTTTTTTTAAATTATTATTATTATTATTATTATTGGTGCCATCCATAAGACTCTACGCTTGCAGGGTCCAATCCATGTAAGCTCATTCATATATGAAATGGTGTACAGATTGCATGGAACATGCCTGTTATTTTGGGCTCTGTAGTTTAGACCGCTGTGTAAATTTGAAGTACCATGTGCTAATGTTGGATCCTGATGGATACTTGTTTTCCCAATATATTATATAGATAAAAAGTCTGTACAGGGTATAAATTTTGGAGTGCTCATTCTAACCAAGTAGCAACCTAACATAATTAGTGATATGTGTCCTAGGCCACAATAGCAATTTCAGTGGGCTGAAATACAATTTACATTTTTCCACAAGGGGCATGTTACCAGAGCTATAAGTATTAGCTAGCTAACTCCTTTCTCATCCATAGTTAATTGTAACATTAAATTGCAGGAGAAACTAATACTACTTTGTATCAATACTTTAAGTGTGTAGAGATAGATCTTACTTGAAATGGATTTATTTTTAGCAGTGTATTCAACCTCCTATCTCTTTTTATATATGAAAAAGAATAAACTGGTGAACTGAGCCATTCTATCTCTCATTTAAGGAGCAATGGGGCAAAACAGAGTTGCTGAGCCATCACTATACAGTGGTGCCTCACAAGACGAAATTAATCCGTTCCGCAAGTCTCTTAGTCTTGCGGTTTTTTCGTCTTGCGAAGCACGGCTATTAGCGGCTTAGCGGCTATTAACGGCTTAGCGGCTATTAACGGCTTAGCAGCTTTAAGAAAAAGGAAACAAACTCGCAAGAACTCGCAAGACGTTTCGTCTTGCGAAGCAAGCCCATAGGGAAATTCGTCTTGCGGAACGACTCAAAAAACGGAAAACCCTTTCGTCTAGCGAGTTTCTCGTCTTGCGAGGCATTCGTCTTGCGGGGCACCACTGTATCTGCTACTCATGACAGCCAATGCTGAATATGACAGTGCTGTTTTCTGCATAATTGATTGTTGTTTGTTTGCTGCACTGGCTCTAAGCCTGGATAAGGCCACTTCCAGTGGCTGGACTAGCTTTGTATCCAGTGGGGGGTGGTTAGCCTCTGGCCTGGGAGCCTCATCTGTCCATCAAGTAGTTATTTCTGACTTCCCAAGACCTCACTGGTTTTGACAGAGACAGCAAAAGAGATTGAACCTTTCTGCCCAACACATTGCTCTGTTGGGGATGTAAATTGCCCTTCCCGGGTCACCAGATCAACCACTTGATGAATGGAGCACCTGTGTGTGCATAGGCATTCATGTAAGTGAGTGTTTGGAGAGGAGGGACAGAGTGCAGGGAGCATACTCACTGTTGGCATGTGGTCCCAGGAGTTATAATCAAGGTTGAACCTTGACCCCCAAAAGGCTACCACCCATGGTTTAGAGCATGGATTTCAACATGTAAGCGAAATACTAACTCCATAGTTAACACTGTTTTTGCATGTAAACAGAACTTAGCTATGCTAGTCTGCATAGGTTTTGAAGTAGGCAGTGAAACTTGGTAATAATCCCAGCAAGAAAGCTCTTCAGGAGTATATAAAGATTAAACTGAAGAACTTATTTTATTCCTATTCAGATTCTTTGTAGATGGAAGAAATTATTTCTCAACGAAAACCATACCCATCAGCGTTGTCCATTGCTTCCATTTGGTGTAGAGATATATTTAGCTGTTGAAATGGATGAAAACAGTTTGTTGTAACATTCAAAAGGCTTTCATTTTTAAAAAGAAATATAAAGCCTTTTAATATGCATAATGTAAAAGGCTTTGCTTTGAATATGGAGTTAGTTGCATATACTTGAGTAAGTTGCCCCTCAAAAGCTGCTTTTGAGGAAAGAAAATACTGCAACAGTTGAGCGAGGAATATGTATGTATTCTTGCCTTGCGGTCATTACACTTTCTTTTGACCTTGTATATTCACTCTTAGCTATATTTGGTCCTGTTTTCTTTTGACAGCTCTTTGACAGATTGAGAGATGAACAGCCGGAATTTAATGAAAAAATTATAGCAGTTGCCAGTGACCTTACAGAAGTAGACATGGCCCTTAGTGAGGAAGACAAGGAGAACCTCATAAACTGCACTAACATTATATTCCACTGCGCTGCTACTGTAAGATTCAATGAAATTCTAAGGTGAGTCTGAACTATTAATTTAACATGTTCTGGTTCCCTTTTTAAAGCTACCTTAGTCATCTTGTAATCTTTATAAAAGAAGTAAATGCTTTATCCCTGGTTGCCTAAATGCTTTCGGCTCACAATAAGAACATATGCATTCATTCTGTGCACTTTAAACTTTAGAAAAGGGAAGAGTAAAAGGTATTAGCCCAACTTTTCATTTGACAGTTGTGTGAAATGGAGCGGTACCAGTTTAGAAACAAAATTCAAAAGTGGTATGTCTCATTCTCTGTTGCTTCATACACATTCCCATTATGGTAGGCATTTTCTTTTGCATTGTGTTTTTTGGTGCAGTCTAGTGTACAGTATGGGATGCGGGTCGCGCTGTGGGTAAAACCTCAGCGCCTAGGACTTGCCGATCGTATGGTCGGCGGTTCGAATCCCCGCGGCGGGGTGAGCTCCCGTCGTTCGGTCCCAGCTCCTGCCCACCTAGCAGTTCGAAAGCACTTAAGTGCAAGTAGATAAATAGGTACCGCTTTATAGCGGGAAGGTAAACGGCGTTTCCGTGTGCTGCGCTGGTGCAGGCTCGCCAGAGCAGCTTCGTCACGCTGGCCATGTGACCCGGAAGTGTCTCCGGACAGTGCTGGCCCCCGGCCTCTTAAGCGAGATGGGCGCACAACCCTAGAGTTGGACACGACTGGCCCGTACGGGCAGGGGTACCTTTACCTTTACCTAGTGTACAGTATAGAGTGTTGTAGCTCCAATACTTTTTACTAGCTGGGTGTAAAGCAAATTGTTGCATATTTAATCTGGCTGAGGTAATTCAGGTGTTCCGACTCTTGGATTACTTGATTAGCTGATTCTTTCATTGAGTGATAGATATTAAAGGAGGAGGCCTGTGGCTCAGTTTTATTATTGCATGCATAATGCACAAGTTCAGAAGTTTGCATCTAATCAAAGTTTTATTGTTTCTTTATCTTGGAATTACTTAAGTATTGCCTAAGGGTTTTGATGCTTCCAAGATAGACTTATTTTTTCTTGTCACAACTTGACTGCAGTAGTCTCTCTAGAATTAAGTTAGTGATTTTTCTCTCTCTTCAGATTGAAATGAATTCCATCCTCTTACTGTGGTGTCTGTAATCTGAGGAGAGAGATAACATGCTGAATCTTCTGCTTCACAGCTTTATGTCTCTAGTCCTGTTTTCTCACTCATTGCCTTCATCCTTTCTCATAGCACCCAGCCAAGATTTGCAACACAAACATCTCCTGTTTGTGCATTATTGTGTGTAATGATTGCCTTTAAACAAGGACCTGCAAATAGTGGGGTTCAGTTTATGTGACATGTGACGCTTGGACTAGATATCTGTTCATTGTCCCAGTGTCACCTTCTTTTTATTTACAGCAAATATGTGACCTGCATCATTTGAAGAATATCATATACTTGATTTTGGCATCATTTAGTTGATAAGAAAAGCCTAATGCTCAATTTGTAAGAAACGTTAGTCTGTGCTGTTGTGAGGGAAGTTTTGGAACCACATTATTGAGTACACTCCCAACCTAAGAAAACATAAAGCTTCTTATATTTTGTAAGAGGAGAATGGGGGATTTGGATAGAAGTGTGCTAAGAAGATTAGAGGTGAGCTGCATGCTACTGGAAACACTTGCCTTTTCCATCTGTTGACACAAAAGTTCCTGTTGGTTTTCAGCAGATACACTAGTAGCAGCTGGATTTGACCAGGCTATGTTTCCTGAACAGCTAGGAGACAGCAAATCACAAAGGAATCTTGTTGTGCATACGTGTTGAGTTTGGATACCTGAAAATACTCTTTAGTACACTTGTTTTTTTTCCTCTCTCTCTCAACAGAGATGCTGTTCAGCTCAATGTAATTGCGACACAACAACTTCTCTTCTTGGCCCAGAAAATGAAGAATCTAGATGTGTTTATCCATGTTTCAACAGCATTTGCATACTGCAACCGAAAACACATTGAGGAAGTGGTCTATCCACCCCCTGTTGATCCTAAGAAATTAATAGATTCCTTAGAGTATGTGTCTAATGTCCCCCCCCCTTTAATTTCATGCTTTCAAAATTGAAAAATGTTGGAAAGTTTTTTTATAGCTGATACAAAATGAGAATGGATTGAACATTGCTGGTTCTGATCTTGGCCATATGCTAAGGTGATTTTTAGCAATAAGAAAAGTAGGGCTTGTTTGGAAATGCCTTCTCTCGGAAATACATTGGCTAGAAAAAAGGAAAGTCTACCTTATGACTCAGGGTTTGCTACTGAAAAGCAGAATGGGGTTAAGGCATCAAAATACGTCTTAAACTAGAAACCAGTTTCTGTAATCTGCTGTTCAATATAATTGTTTCAGATGGAGGATAAATTAGGAAATATTCTTTAAAAAATTGTATTGAACTATAAAAAGGAGCATATTTTCCAAATGGAATTTCCATGAGTAAAAATTGCATCACTTTAGGTATTCTGTTTCAAGTGTAAATAATGACTACAGCAATGAAGTAGAGGCGTCAACCAAAAGTTTGTTAAAGGAAAATGAAAACAAAAGAGCATGAACTCTTGTGGGATCTTTAAATGTTCTTATAGTCAACACTGAAGTAACATCTCAGTCTGGTACATTTCTTTCTTTGTGCAGTTAATGCACAAATAACACAAATGTGTTAACACAAATGACACCTAAATCGTGGCTATTCAGAATTTCAGTAACAAATGAGTTGTCAAGTTTTGTTAAGATGTCATTCTTTGTTTAAAAATGAGCTACAATTATGAGTAATCCAAGGTTGCCCAGGGGAAACATGACTGCTTTGAGTTTCATCAATTCCCCTCCAGCATGATGCCAGGGCCCACCCTGTTGAGCTGGACCTGCAGCAGGCTGAGTGAGAGACTTTTGAATCTAACCCTCCACAGACTAGAAAAGCTTTTCCAAACTTAAACTTTTTAAGTGGTCGTATTTTAATATATATATATATATAACTTTGATTTTTTTCATGAAAAAAGAACAGATTTTAATAGCCATCTTTGGTGCTTTTGAGTTGACTGATAGGATGTAAATGAATAAATATGTTTATTTCTTTAGGTGGATGGATGACAGCCTAGTGAATGATATTACACCAAAACTAATAGGAGACAGGCCTAATACTTATACATATACAAAAGCCTTAGCAGAATACATTGTACAACTGGAAGGTGCAAAACTAAATGTAGCCATTATAAGGCCATCAATTGTGGGTGCCAGCTGGAAGGAGCCTTTCCCAGTAAGTCAACCTTAACCTTTTTATAGCAAAATTTCTTAGTCATTATTTACTATTGATTCAGTCTTTATTACTAAGACACAGGCCAGGGCTGTGTGAAAAGCAGATAATACATTGACTCCGGATCAGTCTAAGCCATCTCTTTTAAAATCTTGTGTAAAGGGAGCTAAGTGATAAATGGATGTAGGCCATAAGGAAGCACTACTTGGGGCTTATGGTTTATCAGTACTGAACACCTTGTGCCTGTAATAAGAGTAGTAACATACAATCACAATGTTACATGATCAATAAGACCAGGCATAGGCAAACTCGGCCCTCCAGATGTTTTGGGACTAGAACTCCCACCATCCCTAGCTAACAGGACCAGTGGTCAGGGATGATGGTAACTGTAGTCTCAAAACATCTGGAGGGCCGAGTTTGCCTATGCCTGAATAAGACGTTCTTCAAAATAGTACCCTTACACTTGGTATCACTTCCCATATTACAGTTGCTACTCCTTGAGTTTCTTATGGAAACATTGTAATTATCTCAGAAGAAATGGTTCTTGCCTAACGATAAATCAGCAAGCAATGAGCCAGTGGGCTTATTCTTAGCATATTGACTATTCATACATTTCTAAAGTAGTTTATTGTTAAATATTTTACTTGTTGAATGAAAAAAATATTTTGTGAAAACTGCATAGTTATGCTATGGAATTAAGATATTTGTGAATTGTTTTGAAAATGCTTTCTTAATATGACTGAAACAGTTAATGTCTTCCTTTTCTTACCCCATTGATTTTCCTTCTCCAAAAACATTGTTTGTAGAAAAGAAAAAATGTTTATATACTGTGTATGCATATGGCAGTATATATAAATATAAAATTGGATTGTAAATAAAAAATGGAAATATTGTGAAATTTACTCAGTTGCAAAATGATTCCCAGTTTATTTTCATAGCAATTAAGCCAGTAAATCTTCCTTATGCTTTGTTTCCAAACAGGGATGGATTGATAACTTTAATGGACCTAGTGGCCTTTTTATTGCTGTAAGTAAAAGTTAAAATGTAGACAAATATATTTTTCTGAAAAGCTAAAGTGGCTTGAAATGGCTTTTTTATCTTGTACCTTTTGTTTTAAGGCAGGAAAAGGAATCCTTCGAACGATGCGAGCCTCAAACAATGCAGTTGCAGATCTTATTCCAGTAGATGTAGTCATCAACGCAACAATAGCTGCTGCCTGGTATTCCGGAGTTAATAGGTATAACAGGTGACAATGCATTTTTTAAAAATTGACTAAGCGGTGGTCTTATGATAGTAAACGATTTGCTTACATCTATATGTGATTGTGGTTTCTGTTTCTATAGCCACAAGGAACTCTTATTGCTTCCATTACCATTGCGACTGTCTCGTGCCCCAAATTTAGTACAGGGCCCAGGGGCATACAGCTCAAGGGGTGTTCCGGACAAGCGTCAAACAATGGCAAATTGCACAGGTTTTTTCCTGAGAAGCCCCTGCATTGTTGCTAGGACTTCTCTGGCATGCTTTTGCTTCACAAAGAGACCAGTGCAAGCAGGATTGGAGGCAACCTGTACTGAGCACAACTTCACCCCACTTCAGATCTTGCTGGTGTCTCTCCAGATGTAAAGTGACAGAACCCCAGAGACCTCTGCAGCAGTTCAGACATCTGTGTATAGAGGTTGCATCACTCTAGCTGCAGTAACCACATTATTTGTTTCAGTTTAAACCATATTTAGGATAAACTCATCTGTATCCATAGATAAGAGGGAATGAGTTACTAATTTTCTGGGGGATGATGGTGTTGCAACATAGTCTACCTACCCCGATTACTGACACCACTTCTCTTCAGCTGTGGACTTGTGGCAGTTTAGTTCCCATTGCTTCTCTTTAGAATCCTAGCGGGCAGTCCCTGGGAGCTTTGTGAACTCCTTGCCTTTGCCCTCGGTTAAATGTGAAAGTTTTGGGTGGCAGCATTGTAATGCTGGAATACTCTCCTATGTGAGGCTTCCATGCCCCAATACTGATTACTTTGAAGTATTCCAGAAGTTCTAGAGAAGAAACACAAGAGGAAGCAATGTGACTTGGACTTCCTCATTACATATATACTTGTGTTTCTCATCCGAAGAGCGCAAAGAAACAAATCCTCTGTGCTTCCTCTTCCCACTTCTCTGGCAGGTCCAAAGCTGTTCTTAGATGTATAGTAAGAGTATTTCCAGTTTGTCTCCTACTTTTAGTAATTAATGCTTTTATTAAACAAGGTCTGAGGTGAGAGGTTTGCTGTGCACAGACACCATTTGAGGGGAGAAAAAACACAAAAGAAATGCAGTCCATCCTCCTGACCCATTTACTCCACAAGTCCCATAGGAATGAAAAAGACTGCCTGGCTGCAATCCTATGGGTGCTTACATGGGAATGAGCCCCCAAGTCTCCTACTTTTAGTATTTTATTATGCAAACACTCACTCACATGAATGCCTATGCACACACAGGTGTTCCATTCATCAAGTAGTTGAACTGGTGACCAGGGAAGGGCAATTTATATCCCCATCAGAGGAATGTGTTGAATGGCCCTCTATGACCTAGCAGCTAGGAAGATTAGGAAGAAAGAACTGGATGGGCTAGTGGTCAATCACAGTGGGTACTCTGAGATGTAATTTGCACATTTTATTTGAAAATTACTTTTTATTCTGTTTAATAAGAAATTTTGGTGGATTTGACCGTGGTTTTACTGCATATGTAGCAACTGCTGTCCCCCCCTTCCTTCTTTGGATGTTGCCATGGCCTTTGTCTAGCGCAATAAAATACAATAAAAATAAAATATAAAAAAGCAAAAATGTATCACAGAGGAACATAGTAACAAGCAGAAACAATAATGCCCCCCTATTTAAGATGTCAGATTGTTTAATTAGCTAAAGGCCTGGAATGTTTTTGCCTGGTGCGTGTAGATAGGGAGAGCATTCCACAAGCAGGGAGACATCACCTAAAAGTTCCATTTTTGTGTTGCTACCCTCCCAACCTCTCACAGAAGGTGCACACAAAAGAAGGGCCTCAGATGTTGAGTGCAGGGTGCAGGTCAGTTCATATGGAGAGGGGTGGTCCTTGAGGTATTGTGGTCCCAAACTGTTTCAAGGCTTTATAGGTAAAAACCAACATTGTGAATTGGGTCCGGAAACCAGTTGGCAGCCAGTACAGTTGGGCCAGGATTGGTGTTGAGTAATTAATAAATCCGCTGAATCAGTTTATAAATGCTACACTACAAAGTGTTTTTTTCCCCCAAAAAAATCCTTGGCTTCTTACTTACAAATATTACTATTTGCTGTGCTATTGGTTACCTATTTTTACCCTTTCCCCCCTGTTTTTTATTATGTGAACTATTCTTTTGTCTTAAGAGGAATGATAATATAGAAAAAAATTAACTAATTTTTGTTTTTCAGACCAAGAAATACTATGGTATACAACTGTACTACGGGTGGCACCAATCCCTTCCATTGGGGTGAAGTTGGTATGCCTTCTTTTTTTCCTCTGCAGTTTAATAAATTAACTTATTGGTGAACCTTTAGAAAGCCATGCATGAAGATTCCCTTTAAAAAAAAGAATTGCTTTTTAAAGGACCAAGCGTTGATTTGTCCCTGCTTTCTGATTGGGAGCAGCTTTTCAAATAAATTTGCTCTCTCCATAGATACTTGTCCTTCTAGACTGCTAGAACCATTAAGCTCATAGGGGAGAAGATTGTTTTGCTATGTATGCTTGAAAATACATTGTGTGACACAGCATTTTAGTGTATGCATGTAGTGTTAGAGCAATGTGTACCAAATATTTCAAATATATATATTTGCCTTTTTAAAGCATTACAAAAGTAATAAAAATACAATATAGTATAAGAGAGGCTTTACTTAGTGATGTGTGTGTTTATGCTGTGGTTCCACAGAAATGCATAAGATTTCAGAGAGAACATGTAGCCCTTAAACAGCTTCAAAGCAGTGTTTCAGTGTGAGGGTAATAGCTGCTGAAATTACAGAGGGCAGAATGGTGATTGAGATTTACCAGTGGTTTGAGGGCAGAGCCTCAGTAGTCTGTAGAACTCCTTTAGCTTTAACCATGATTCTAGAACAAAATATGCAAAATAGTGAAAAATATAAAATAAATAACTCAGAACAATGTAAATATTAAGCAGATTTTCATAACTTATTCAGCCCACATATTTCAATTTTTCTACCAAATTGAACTGCACTAGTACCCAGCTTCTACATTTTTTTTTAGCACAGTGTATATGCACACCTGGTTTTACTCAAGTATTGGACCACAATTGATAGCAGTGCTTTAATCAGAGTTATAACATCGGAGCAAAGCACATTATAATGATTATTAAAGGGAAGAGGGCCAAGAGTTGCAGTTCTGCACCAGTGTGGAGTTTGCAGGCATTATATGTACAGTGGTACTTTGGTTCTCGAACTTAATTCGTTTGACTCCCGAAACCATTTGAAAATCAAGGCATGGTTTCCAATTGGCTGCAGGACCTTCCTGCAGTCAAGTGGAAGCCACGTCGGACGTTTGGCTTCCAAAAAACATTCTCAAACCAGAACACTTACTTCCGGGTTTGTGGCGTTCAGGAGCCGATTTGTTCGGGGGCCAAGCCATTCGAAAACCAAGGTACCACTGTGTAGCTTTTCAAGCAAACCTCATAAAGTGGCTTACACTAAAATGTTAAAAGCAATGAGCATTAGTTAAATGCTTAAAATATGGGAAAGATAAGCTATAAGGAGAAAAAAATATTTCAAGGCTAGATATTGAGTAGCAGCAGTTGATGGATAGGGGTGGGTGGGTAAAACTAGTATATCTGACTTGCAGCCCGTGAGAAAATGGGATTTGCTGAGTTTTGAGGAATCAGTGATATATTAAAAAAGCAGTTACGTAGGACTAAGTTATTTTCCAATTTCTAACCGTACTAACTTAATTTGTTTAAAGTTTTACATCCCTGGATTATTATTTTTTACAGCATCTCTTCCCAGGCAATTAATAGCCTGCATATAATCTTAACATTATTCTTTACCATCTTCTTTTCTGTCTAGTCAAAATGTCAAAAGCAGTGCATAAATCTTCCTCTTCTGGAGGACTTCCTTTTTACTGTAAGAACACTTCTTTAGTTTCACTGGAAGTTGGGTTAAGACAGTACATGATTACAGATTCAGGCCTTCAGTCTGAGAAACCAAAATAAACCTTAATGAACAATTCCTTAATTTAATTCAGATGTGTTTGATACCTGAGCTAATTAAAAATGTTGGGCTAATCTGTAATGCAACTTACAAATTGTTGTGTGATACATAGGTCGTAGCATAGTATCAGCCAGTGGAGCTCTATTTGCAATTATTTACAAACACAAGGTTAATAATTAAGTAGGAAAGAGGAACAGAGAGAGCACAGAACAGGAAATGAAGCTGCAGTAGTGGAGCACTTAAAAGCACCAAAAGAATTCCAGTGAGAGAGACTACTTAGGCTTGACAGTTGAACCGAATGAATGCTGAACATTGCTAATTAGTGAAAGATGTGTACGAAAGATGTGCTTTAATTCATTGAGAATAGTACTTGTATGTTATGTCCATGGAAGTCCATTACATTTAAATGGTTATTATCAAAGCTGTTACACAACTTTTCTTTCTTAGAATACCATGTAATATCCACTTTCAAGAGGAACCCTCTCGAACAGGCCTTCAGACGGCCCAATGTAAATCTAACCTCCAATCACCTTTTATATCACTACTGGATTGCTGTAAGCCATAAGGCCCCAGCATTCCTGTATGATATCTACCTCAGGATTACAGGAAGAAGCCCAAGGTAATGGTGACTAGCTCTGTCTTCTGTTCCTCATGACAAACCCATGTTTACACGATTTAACACATTAACATGTTATTTGTTATTATGATTGAATGTGCCGCTAAATCCACAGAGATGTTTGACTTCAGGCCATGAAAATGGTGTAGTATGGATAATGTGCTAAGTAGCTAAACCATCAAGGCTGTTGAATTTGCTACCTAACTGTGGGTTCATTCTTTGAACAAGAGCTGCTCAAAACATTGTGACCCTTATTTTTCCTACAGAGAGTTACATAAATTTGACATTCAAGAGGAATCCTTTAGAACAAGCAATAAGGCGTCCCAATGTTAAACTCCAGTCCAACCCCCTTAAACATCATTATTGGACTACAGTCGGTCACATACTTCCTGCGTTGTTATACGATGTTGTTCTAAGGTTGACAGGTCAGAAACCGTGGTAAGAAGGAAAGGGCTAATACTTTGCTGGAAAGGTGATGGAAGCTTTTTGGCGGTGTAGATCAATGGCATGAGCTTCTTCTGTAAATTTACTAATAGAAGCATCAACAATAACAGTAAAAGAGCTGGATGTTTCTTAGGACTTAGTGATTGTTTGAAGTTCATTTTCTTACAATGAATCTAACAGTCCCAGCCATTTTCTAAGTCTTTTGAATCATTCCACTCTAGCACTGTTATTGAAATTATAAGCTGAAATGGAATGGGAGGGCAAGGAGATGTAAGAGATAAATAAATATATAAATATATATGTATATATTGCCATCTGTATAAATATAGATGACAATCATGGTGCACTTGTGGTTTTTTTAATGGATGATACAAGTCACTTAACACATTTTATCTCACTGACATTCGGCTTATAATTCTTCTGGCTACCTTTTTTAAGTAAGCAAAAAGTTTACTTTAACTCGTCAAAATTGCATAGTTTTATACTTCCTATTTTATAGTTTTAAAATGGCACTATTTTCAAGCTTTCTTTTGCAGAATGGATGTTCAAACTGCACAACCACCACCACTGAGATCTGAGGGAACAGAGGAACTGTCAAGTTCTGTTCTTTTCAAAGTTAAATTAGCATTTGCAATACTACTACTTTTTTTAAAAAAAACCCCAAATGCATATTTTGGTATGTCCTCTATTGACTTTAGAAGCTCCAGCATAAAACTTGTCCATGTTCTGTGACAGCATCAGCATATTTTACCAAAAGTTAGTTCATGCACAGAAATAATGCTTGTTATGTTTTATTGCTTGTGGTATTGTCTTGATGGCTATTGTGGAAGCATGGGCAAGTATTATGCCTACATCTTTGGAATTTGGTGACTTAATGCCATTCTCTCAGCTGCCAATACCAGCTTCTCAGGTCCATCAAAGTAGACTTGCTACACTAAGGCATGCTTCTGCTCTGTTGCACTGATCCAGAGGAATTTGCTCTACTGGTTTTGGAAGAACTTTAACATTCTTGTCAGTTACATAAATTTTATGTATGTATTTATGTATGTAGAACAAGATTCTTATCTATGTACAAGACTTTAGGCTTCAGTCCTTTACATTATGGATGGGCATTGGCCAGGCTGACAGGGGCTGATGGGAGATTGAGTCCAACAACATCTGGAAACCACAGGGCATCTGCTGCTGCTATACAAATGACCTGGGAGTAAATGCTCATTGAACTCAGTGGGACTTACTTCTGGCTAGATATGCATAGCTTTGTACTGTTTTTTGTTACTTTTCCAGACCATCATCGAGTTCCTTATGAGATTAGTACTGCTCAGTATCTCATTAGTTCAGTAATGGTAGGAAAATGTCAATAGAAACAGTTTGCCTACCACTCCTGATTTTACACCTATGGTTGAAGAGAAAATATTGAACGTATTTTAGGGAATCTTCAGAATTGCAGTAAAAGACCTAGCTAGCAGTCTGTGTTGACCGACAGCACACATTAGAATACTCCACAACGCACAAAGGCGTTTCTCAATATAGGCTTTTTGCAAACAGTGGTCTTCAGTGGGTTTATTAGATCATTTCCTATGTAAATTAACCTATGAAAACATTCTAAAGAGAAAGCTAAAGATTAAGGGAGGAATTCAACATTGCACTATGGCAAGCCTTGTGTTAGTGAAATCATTTCAGTTTGCCAGATGATAGGTTTCCCCCTTGTCATCTCCCCTGTGCTGTTCTGGGGGTTCTCCCAACCCCTCTAGGAGCAACTAGGGGAAGGAGGGGAAGTGCTGTTGCCCTAGGGGAAGTCTTTGGTTGAATCTGGCCCACATATATGCCCCCTGCTTAATACTAGAAGCTGTGTTCATCCATTGAAGCTGGATGGTTGGAGATTCAGTACAGAGAAAAAGGAAGTGCTTCAGACAGCACATAGTTATAAACTGGGTTTCACTACCAAAAGATGTAATGATCGCCATCAATTTGAACAGCTTAAAAGTAGATCAGACAAATGGGTGGAGGCTAGGGCTATCAATGGGCACTGTCACAATGGCTATATTGCCTCCAATATCAGAGGCTGGGGATCACAAACAGGAGCGTGATACTACACTCATATCCTGCTTGTCAGCTTTTTATAGGCATCTGGTTGACACAGTAGGAACAGGACACTTGACTGGACGAGTTTTTAGTCTGAACCAGCTGGGTTCTTAGGTTAAAATCGCAGCATGCTTGGTGACTTGCTAGTGCAATATAGTACCAAAGTATGTGATACTGCATTGGCACAGCAGTTATACTGCTTAACCTCTCACTGGATCAGCAGCATGTGTGTGTGTGTGTGTGGGGGGGGTATTTAGTACAGCGGCCACAGTTGTGGTTAGCTTAAATCAGTAGCATTTATTTCATAGCAAAAAGTACCAAGTTACCAATATTCCCACCTAACTTCCTTTTGTGGAGTGCCTTGAAAGTGTAGCCAGGGGAGAGTGAAGTCTGTGAGAGCAGACTTTCTCTTTCCTCCCTCCAACTCTGGTCCAGTCACTCACAGCCCTCCAGAGCAGATTTTGAGGCAGTTCAGGGAGGGGAAGAGGAACTCCTGTCATGCCAGAAGAAATCAATTCTGCTGGTGAGAAGCCCCATTGGATGTCGCCCAGGGAATTGAAACTCAAACTTGTTCATCTAGAAAGTAAAATAGTCACTCTTAGTAAGCTTGCGTCCTTAACTTCAAGTGTACTTGAATGTAATGCATTTTTTTATTACTGCTAAAAATCTTTATAGTCAGTATTTTTCTGTTCTTCTGAATTTTGTGCTTATGAATGTTTGGAAAGAAGAGCTCTGGCTAAGCTTTTCATAATATGGGTGAGCTGCACAAGTTCCCTTGTTGTAGTTCAGACACATTTTAGGTCCTTAGAAGAAATGTATATTAAAAAATCCTAATAGGAAAAAGTGTTGCATAGTTTCATTGTCTTGTATTGCTTTTCTGGTAGGTAGTTATTTGTATTTGGGATGTAGTTCTTCCTGTTAAATAGCTTTCCCCCAAACATACTTATTTTATTTAAATTATAAAATATTTTACACACAGTAGAATTTGACCATCCTGCTCAGTATAGGCAAACAACCACAGTCTTTCCCAAAGCTGTTTCATACAGATGCTGATTTTATTTTCTCGCCCCTTTCCCCTTTTCACCTTCTTTGCTCTTTATCATCAGTGCCTTCCATTTTAAGGATCAGGCTGGAAATGTATGTGTAGATTCACTGTATGCTCTTGGCTGTGGCTAGGCGGGGCCAGTGGAATAAGTTGTTGCTCTAGGAAGACAATATGCACCAGAACTTAATTTTCCCTAAAAATGTATTTAAAAAATGAATATTCAGTTTCCTGGATTCAAATTTATACATAAACATATTTTTTAAAATAGAAAAGCTGCTTTCCATGTTGATCCTAATAATAGAATGCACTGTATTCAGACAAATTATTCATTGTTGCCCCAGGTAGGCAATGAACATGGATAGAATATTTCTGCATATTATGTAGCAAACCCTTACATCTGAACTGGCATACTGCATTGCATCAGTTGGTGTAACCTGTGATGATATTGGAAAGGAGAATTGTTTTGTAATGTAAACTTTCTTTATTGGCCTCTGGAATAATGGGAGCGGGCATCTGGTGTGTTGATTCTCAAATAAATACCCGACATATTATTTGTGTGAGAATTATACTCAGGGGCACTTTCTGTTGCAGGGGAGCTGCCCTTTGATGCTATCCACAGAAATAGTTTTCTGGGAGTGGTGGAGAAATAGAGAAAGGGCATCTGTCTCTAGAGTTTGTCCTTTGTAGATTGAGGCTAAGCTTTGATCAAGCCAGAAAGTTACAGATAAATTTTTGAATCCAGTGTTTCCCCTCTTGACTTGGCAATGAAAACTACTAGATAATATTTCTCCTCTTCTTTAACTCTATCTACTTCATATTAAATCTCTCTCTATAATCTAGTTTTCAATATACTGTCTAAGCATGTAGTTCATCATTTTCCATAAAATATTTATTAAAATGCAATGCAGAAATATTCTAGTTATGTTAAATTTACTTCAGTGCCTTGGGGTTGGGAGACAATTAGAGGATCTGAGTTTAGACATGTAGTTTTTCAAATGTCATTTTCTTGAATAACATCTTTCCCTGAACTGTAGGATGATGAAAACAATAACACGTCTTCACAAGGCTATGATGTTGCTAGAATATTTCACCAGTAATTCTTGGGAGTGGAACACAGATAACGTCAATATGCTCATGAGCCAGCTGAGTCCTGAAGACAAAAAGGCAAGTTACATTTGTTTTTGTCTTAGCAATGACTTACTCACTGTACTATTGACATGTCAAGCTTTTCAAAGAAAGAATAGCTGACAGGGAAAAGAGGAGAAAATCAAGCTATAGTATAATCGTGTGCTTGGTTCCTTTCTTTGCTTTAACTTTTATAAAAACTAATTTACAATGCTAGACACCTCAGGGAGTGGAAATGAAAGTGGTGGCGCCCCCACCTGCTCTGCTACTTCAACCACTGGTGGAGAAGCAATCCAGGTATGGTAGGTTTTGGTGGCTGCAGAGCAGCACAGCATTCCTCCGCCCAGCGTTGCTGATTAACTATGAAACAGTTTCATCTGTTGTGCTCTTGACTTAAGAATAAAAGTACATTTCATTTGTGAAGTTTGGCATAATACTGTTCGTTCTTTTTGTGACAGACCTTTAATTTTGATGTTCGACAACTACACTGGGCAGAATATATGGAAAATTACTGCATGGGAACGAAGAAATATGTATTGAACGAGGAAATGTCTGGTCTCCCAGCAGCTCGGAAACACTTGAATAAGTATGTATAGTTTATGGGTGGATTTTACCTAACAATTCCAATCGGTGCAAGCTCTGTACAAGGGCTTCCACTTGTTCAACAGAGCTTTTCCTTCTTCTAGTATACCCCCTAAATAATTTGACTTGTGGGGGCAGGTGTCAGGAGAGCCTCCATAACATCACACGAGAGAGGAGATTGTTCTGTTTGGCAAGCTGCAGTGCTTGTGCTGATGGGAAATTCACCATAGCATGATTTCAGGTTCTGCCCTCAACCTTTATTCTTTACTTTTTAGAAGGTAATGCCAATTGAAACCTTACTGCCTCTTTTAATGTCTGGTGCAGAGGAGGGCAATGCTGTATCCGTCTGGTTTTGGGATCAAAGAATTGTCATGCAGATATAATACCTGAGGGAAGGTGTTAAGTGTGACACCATATGCAAGTAAAAAAAAAAGTTTACTGATAATTTTCCTTTTGGAGTATACCAATATAGCTGCTGTGAAGTCATAGAAGTCAAAATATCACACAATGTAAAGTACATAAACCTGTACAAATGGAAAATTTAATCTCCTTGTTGACCCCACCATTCTTGTTGCTTTTCTTAATTAAATTTGGGGGGGGGAGTTGCAGTAATATTGGGTAGCTTAAAAAAAAAGTTGACACCACAAAAAAATCTAGAAATCTAAAGTGTCTACTACAGCTGAAAAAGTACATTTGCCACTGTTTGTCTTCACAACAGCTTCCAAAAGTATGATCAATCTGGCCACAAATATCCTAGCTACTTTTAGTTTTACTATAGTAAAGAATAATTTGAGGCTTGGATTTGTGCTCTGAGATTGCATTGGTATGCAGTGAAGAAAGGAGAACTGCTGCCCTTCCTTTCTCACAACACTTGTAAGTTATGTACCCGTCTTCTAGAAACCACTCCTGGATTGGTGGGTAAGGAATTCTGGGGGAATTCCTGATATTTTCCCTCCAGTTTGCAAACCAGAGCCAGGCATTTCTTAGCTGAAAACGTTACTGGTTGGGTTATCTGTAGGGACTTCTATGACAAACATGAAAGAAAACATCTACTGGTAAAAGATGCAGCTTATTTCCTTATTGCAGGAATAGGTAATATGATGCTCTTCAGATTTTTAAGACTCCAGACTTCCATCAGCTCCAGCCAGCATGACCTAAAGATCTGGAGGGCACCAGGTTGGCAAAGGCTGGCTTATTGTATAATGCATACTTTATACAAGTAGCTGATTGTTAGACTTCTCAATTTATTAGTCAACAGGAGCGGGCATCAAGTGCCAATTCATCTTACAGTTGTTAACTTTACTTGTGGGTCAGCCTATGTTTTTCACATCTTGTTTTTCCTTGCTTTCCTAGGCTAAGGAACATTCGTTATGGCTTCAATACAGTGCTTGTGATCCTCATTTGGCGTATTTTCATTGCAAGATCACAAATGGCAAGAAACATCTGGTATTTTGTCGTTAGCCTCTGTTACAAGTTTCTCTCTTACTTCAGAGCATCCAGCACTATGAGATATTAAAGATGGCAATTCTAGAATTAGGACATCTATGCATATGGTGGTCTAATGGCATAAAGCCCTAAAATGTACCTACTCATCTCGTCTTTTGTAAAAACATGAAATATTAGATCTGGATTGTGAAATACAGTACAGTACACGTGATGCTTAATTGTGTATTTCTGTGGAGATCATATGGCTGGTACTGGATCAATCTGTCATTAGGCAAATATGTAGGTTAAATATCCAAATGAATTTAATATCTCTGTATGAGGAAGAACTTTAGGCCACTGACCAGTGTAACTGTGCAATTCTGGAATGCATTGAAATTAAAATCTGCCTTAACATAGTAAACTTAATTTTTATTGCAAATAAGTGTGTTTAGTTAAGGTGAACAAATTATTGGCTTAGATGGTAGAGCTATTTATTTGAGACTTTAAAATTGCAACTGGTTTGTCTGGTTATTCTTATGAGAGAGGTATCTTTGTAAATGATTGTGAGTTGGGCATTCGTTAGTCTTTTATTCTTCTCTCCTCCTTTCCAATCCCTTGACTTGAAAAAGCAGGGATCCTTCAAGGGGAAAACTGCAGCTGGTATACAGCATTTTTCTCTGCATGTTTTTCTGACTTGTGGCTTAGAACTGTTTGTATGGCCAAGGAAAGAGGTGAATTTATCCCTTGGAAGTTGCACACAAGGGAACCACATCATTACAAGTCACAAGTATTTTCCTTTTATTGCAGAAGAAATCAGGAACTTTGAAATTTTATTCAGTGATTTAGCGCATAAATCTGTTTACGAAATGCCACATTTCTTAAATTACCTACAGAATTTTAAACCAAATTATCGAGCACTACTTCTGAAGGGGTGAAATTGATATTTATACTAAATAAAACTCAGCACAGTTTGGGGGAATGGTGAAAATAGAAATGAAGAAAATATAAATAACTGAATAGGTTCTAGGTTAAATGTATTTTTCTGCATGTTGCTTTACCAGGAAAAATGCATTTACAACAGTCCTTGCTCTAAGATTTAATTAAGTACATATAATATTAAAATCTTACTCTATAAAACATAGTTACATACAATTCTCTGCTATCAACATTCTTTTTATTTGATATAATCTACCCATACCTGTGTGGTGGCAACCGATTAACTTCTATTATACCTGGGTTGTTGTTTTTTTTATTAATATGCCTAAGTAAATTGTGAATGAATCCTGAATGAACTATAGGAGTTATACGAAGCACATGCATCCTATACTTATAATTCCACATATAGAGCATGTCTTGCTGCTGTGGAAATATAACTTCTTTCATGCAAATGTGCATCTGATTTTGGAGAGAGAGCTTCCTTGTTGAAGTTTAAATATTTTATCTTATTAAGTACTTTAATGTACAGTTGTAGTTTTTTTTTAAAAAAAGATCTGCATATAATTTTCCAGGGATACAAAATGTTACATAGTCGAAGTCCACACTATTAAGAAGTGTGTGAGTCTGGTGTTACAGTGTTGGAATACAATAAATTGTGGATTTAGTGATTTAAGGTTTTACAGTTGGGTGCAATATTCCTACTGTATCTGCTACAGCTGCTCCCCTAATTCTTTCTCATTGAACTTGAATATTTACTTGGCATTTTAGTACGTTGTAAACTTTTGCACAAGGTGCCTGGAACCCAACAAGCCACTTTGATTTGTGTATATATGTACGTGTGTGTGTGGTTGAATTTGGTGAGAGGCAATTGTAAGATGCTTAGATGCTGAGTTCATTTTCTCACTGTACTGTTTTTATGGAACAAATTACTACTTACTCCTGAAGCTAATGCAGCTGAGAAAATTGCACCAGGATCCATACTACGATTTTAAAAGATCTCTGAATAACTGATAGAATTGTTTAATTTTCCACACTAGTTTAACTTCCAGTATGGCTGCCATATTGGATTCCTAGGATTTCCATTTAATTTGAATGGTTACCTAGTTTTCTCATACAAAGAAATAACATAACTATGTCGCAATAATGTTCTAGCATTCCACATAAATCTAGATTGTAAAGGTTCCTTCAGTTTTGGTGTTCATACTAATGTTGCAACTTCAGTAATTTCAGACTTGTTAATTAAAATAAACAAGATTCACAATTTTGGGTATTAGTCTGAAAAGTCTAATTGACTTGAAGAAACTATCCAGTCTAAAGTGAGAGAAGAGCATTCTGAAATGGATCACTCAGAAGGTGTGCCAGAACTTTAAAATTTGGGACCATAGAAGAACATTACCCTGCAATGTAGCTTTCTGCTGTAGGAACAGATTCTGAAAACAAAATTTTAAATCATAAGCTTTTATAAAATAGAAATATTGGGTGCCTTTGTTTGTAAACCAAAAATAAACAAATTCCTGAATATGATGTTTGTTGAATTTATCAAGTTGTTTAAGCTGTGTAGAAACTTTAACTTAAAACATTTTGTGCTTTGAAATAGAAATTAGTAGCAAAATCTCATTTCAAAATGTCTAAAGTTGCATGTATAGTCATATTCAAATATCTAAAGGGCTGTCATATGGAGCAAGTTTGTTTTCTCCTGCTCTGGAAGCTAGCACCTTGAACCAATGGATTCAAGTTACAAAAAAGGAGATTCCGACTAAACATCAGGAAGAACTTTCTGACTGTAAGAGCTGTTTGACAGTGGAACAGACTCCCATGAGAGGTGGTGGACTCTCCTTCCTTGGAGTTTTTTAAACTGAGGTTGGATGGCCATCTGTCATGTATGATCTAATTGAGATTCCTGCATTGCAAGGGGTTGGACTAGATAACTCTTGGGCTCCCTTCCAAGGCTACATATATGCTATGTATATGCTGTACATATTACAGTCATATGCTAAAGGTCACATGAACCCCTATTACCAATGAGTACTAATATAAAACCCTAAATTGAAGAAATTTAATGTTGCATGGTTACTTCAGGGTGAAATCTGACTAAATCATGCATAGTAGACTGCCTGAAATCAATGGACAAGTTACTTAAGACAATTTATTTCAGTGGATGTATTCTGAAAATGGCTAATGTTGAATTTCACTCACACGAGCAATTTTGTGCATATTTACTCAGCGTCTCTCTGAGTACTCAAGAGTCTCTCTCTCTCTCTCTCTCTCTCTCTCTCTGGGACCTTCTAAGTAAGCATGCATAAGATTACAGGCCTAACCATTTTTTTATTAGTGTCTTCATTTTCTACATTGTATTTAAGCTTGAATGAAACAAAGTGGATTCAGCTAGTTCCATCCAACCATTTAACTACTTATTTAAGGTGGAAGTGCATAACAGGTCTTTCTTTACTTGTCACATTATTCAGGCAGTACAGGACCTTAGATGGGATGACATACACAAATTTTACTTTCTGTACTGGAGTAGAAGTTCGGTAGAAATGAGGCACAGGGGGGAAAGGTCAGTGTTGCTTCTTTCACTGAAAAATGAGCTGACATTCATGTAATCTTGAAACTTTAAATATATGGAATATTTCTAAAAATAACACCACCACATTAATACTAATTTTAAAACTTAATTTTTGTCTAGTCTAGATGAGTAGAAGGTTTTTGTTTTTATTTTAAAGGATCTCTGGATATTCTGAGCCTGTCAGACTAACACTCATCCCAGAAAAAGGAGGAAATGATTGCTAGGATAGGCAATCATGTTTAAGAACCTTTTATGCAGCATATATATGCCGTCCAGTAACAGTGATTTTCTTGGTTGCTTACAAGCAATAGTATACTGAGTACAGCTTGCTGGGGGTGTGTGGAGAGAGAAAGATAAGTGGATCCAAGCAAATACAGAAAAGTATCTGAAACATAAGAGAGAATGTGGGCTAAATGGTACAAGCAGCCCGGCTCACAGATTCACAGCTCTTCTCTTCGGCTAAGTGTTTATTGCTACTCATCAGTTTTTAAAAAGAATGCAGATGACCCAGGACAGATTCCAAATGGTTTGTATCTTAAGAGATCTTCTGCTCCACACTGAGCTCCACGCCTTACATAGTTTGAGATCCCAGTTTCCTGACGCATCAGCTTTCTGTACTGTATCATGTTGCTGCAATTGAAATCTGTTTGATCTTTGTGAACTCCCAAGATTTGTCTACATGAATAGTAACAACAGTTCAATTTTAAGGCTTTAAATAAAAACCGTTGATATGGCATGGTCTTAACTTGCATATAACAGTGTTTTCTCTTGTAATTATGGTTTTAACCCCCCCCTTTTTTTGTTGGTCAATGGGAAGATGGGGTACAATGGGTTTGGCTAGTTACAATTCTAAAGGAGCCCTTTAACATAATTTTTAACATGGGCTACTTGGGACTCCTGTCTAAGAAACGTATCTGTCTTACAGTTCTGAACCATTTTAATTTCAAGGGGTGACAAGGCCTAATTCTGTCAAAGTTGCACAGTTAGATTTTCAGTCCATTCTGCCTAATCACAATGTATTGGAGTGGTTGTGGCTTAATTGAGGATGATGTGGAACAATATGCACAGCAGGTAAGGTAAGACCCTGCATAGGTCTGCATTGAAATGCTGAGTGGTGTACTTTGACTTGGGAAGGTGGTGGGCTACTCATGGCTGTTCACATTTTCTTACCCTTAGTTGACTGTCACTGAGAGTAATTCCTAAACTTAAGCAGGTAACAGATTTATGAGGAGAATGAATTTCTGCAGCACATCTGTTACCTCTATCCATATCTGGAAAAGTTTAAGTACCATCTATGCAGCCCCTAGTGATAACTACTGAAATGTGCTTTCTATGTGATGGTGGTCCTTTCTCATGTGGGGTATTGGGATGGTGCAAAACTCTTGTTGCAGCAACTGCTCTGCCTGCCTATCAGCTTCACAGAGTAATTCAGAGTGTTGGTGTGGAACTTCAAAGCCTGAAGTGACTTGTGCCACTTTAAAGAGACCACCTTCCATATGTTTTTACCCACTACTAAGAGAATTTGGTGAAGCTGTACTCCAGTTCTTAATTTATTCAAAGAGTTCTGACATCATTGATCATCTGTCCATCCGTCCCAAAGTGATGGTATATCACTCCCCCAGACCCAGCAATGCCTTTTTTCTATTCAGGCTTGAAGGAAAGCCTTGGCTGACTTAACAGGATGACATTGTGTTTTAGACTTTGTTTACAAATGCTTGTTGGGCTCTGTTATTTAATTGGAGGGTGTGATACCATTATTTTTGCCTGCGTGTGTACAAAAAAAAGTTTAAAAGTACCTATCCACCCTCCAAATACAGAAGTTCTCTTCTTTGCAGTGAAGAAGAGAATAACTATTCCAATTAGATGTACCATTTTTGAATAACAGACAGGTCAGAAGTGTGAGAATTAAGCAGATGCCTTTGCTGCATCATAAGCAAATAAACAGTTAACCTCTTAAGATTATATTCAGTTGCGGATGGAAGACAATGTTTCTTCAAATTACCGTATTTTTCGCCCCATAGGACGCACCAGCCCATAGGATGCACCTAGTTTTTTTTGGGGGGGGGGAAATAAAGGGGAAAAAAATTATTTTCCCCCCAGGTGCGGGGCTGGGGCAGGGGGAAGCCCGAGCTTCCCCCAGCCCCCAGAACAGGCTGCTATCCGCAAGCCGTGGGAGTCGTGCGGCTCTCCCACGGCTAGCGGAGCGCTGTGCGAAGCCCGAAGCTTGGGGTGTGCTGAGCTCAGCACGCCCCAAGCTTCTGGGTGCAGGCAAGCTCTCCGCTAGCTGTGGGAGAGCTGTGTCTCCCACGGCTAGCGGATAGCTTCCTGAAGCCTGGAGAGCGAGAGGGGTCGGTGCGCACAGACCCCCCTCGCTCTCCAGGCTTCAGCAAAAGCCTGCATTCGCCCCATAGGACGCACACACATTTCCCCTTCATTTTTGGAGGGGGAAAAGTGCGTCCTATAGGGCGAAAAATACGGTACCTACTTCTCTAAAGTGCTCTGGGACACTACCTGGAAGTACGACGCTGTGGTTTCCAACTACAACTGATCTTTGTGACATCAACACCTACAGTTTTCCTCTGTTTAATATTTCATTCGGAAAGAGTAGACTGCACGGTTATTTTCATTCTTTGTGACTCTCACTTAAAGCCTTGCCCATCCATTTTTAATAGGAATGTGCTGCACTTAGCTTAATAAGTTTGTTTCTGGGCGCACTGGTTATGCGTGCCTGTGTTTTGGTTTTTCCCATGCTGGCTTGTGCTTCCAAAACAGGCACAATCTGAAGTGGGCCTTTTCCTGGGCTGAGAGCAGCTCAGTAATGGAGTGATAGTGAATACAGACTAAACTCAGTATCCATCATCTGGTATTTTTGTGTTAGAACATGTGCAATCTAGTGCAGTTTTGCAAAAACTTCCCTGCCAGTGATCCATATTGGGTTAGGTCTACACAGTGTGGAAGAATTACTGCGCTGTACATACAGCTTGTCTGCTTTCCAGAAGCTGAGGTTTTAGTATTTAGTGTGAAAAATATGAAAGTTGCAGTAATTTAAGCCGTTACAGCAGTTACAGCAATTTAAGCCATTCACAGGCAAGTTGATCTGTTTTGCCTATGTGTATAAACAGAAAGATTAAAAAAACCTTTAAGTGAGAAAATGTAATGCTTTTTTTCTAGGGCAAACAAATACGAATAGATGGCAGTGTATGCTTTCTCCACCTCCAGTTGGTGCCAACTCTGTCTAATAATATCTGTGCTTTTAACCTTTACCAAAGAATGTTTTGGGATACTCGAGTGTGTGAGATATAAAACCTGGCAATGCTCAAACAAGGGATTGCTGAGTAATTGATAGCTCAAATAATTTAACCTTGTAAATTGGAAGGCAGAATAATCCTGCTATATACTACACAGCAGCTAAAATGAGAGGACAAGCTTTCAGACATGACATTAAGAGACACTCACACTGATCCCTGCTCTTTGGCAGCAGAATCTCAACATCTGGAATTCTTTTCTTACAAAAATATTTTGAAAGATTTTTTGGGGTAAGTATTTTTATTGACTTTTACCCATTTAACCCAAACAACAAAATAGTGCTTCATGAAACCAAACCAAGCATTAAAAACCAAACCAAACCAGGATCGGTTTGAGGGTAGGACGCTGATATCCAGATGGAAGGTTTAGCCACCTTGTGACTTCTCTCCAGTTAGGAAGAGTTTTATCCGTAATGGTTGAGTCCATAGACCAAGCTTCCATGAACTGATGCTCACTTTGAAGTTAGCAATGAATCTGCCCAGTCCTACAGATGCTCCCACTTAACAGAATTAAAATACATGCTCTAGACTTGCCTATTTTCAACTTTATTCCCAAAGTTAATCCTAGAGCAGGTTACATTAGAAGAAAATATGGGAAGGTTACCTGGACTTATGTATGGTTCATGCCTATGCTTCGTGAGGAAGCTGGCACC